TAGAAATGCTAAGGGAAGTCCTTCAGGTTGAAATGAAAGAATACAGACAGTAATTTGAACATATGAAGAAAAAAATAAAAATCTCTGCTAAAGATAAATACATGAGCAATTATAAAAGCTACTGTTATCATAATTTGAGTTTGTAATTTCATTTTTTATTATCTACATGATATAAAATGCATGAAAACAATTATTAATCTTTGTTATTGGGAAAACAATGTATATAGGTGTGATTTGTGACACTGACAACAGAAAAGGAATGACAGAGGCCAGGTACAGTGGCTCATGCCTGTAATCCCAGCACTTTGGGAGGCAGAGGCAGGTGGATCACTTGACGTCAGGAATTGAAGAGCAGCCTGGCCAACATGGTGAAACCTCATCTCTACTAAAAATACAAAAATAAAAGTAGCCAGGCATGGTGGCAGACACCTGTAATCCCAGCTACTGGGGAGGCTGAGGCAGCAGAATCTCTTGAACCCGGGAGGCAGAGGCTGCAGTGAGCCAAGATTGCACCATTGCACTCCAGCCTGGGCGACAGAGTGAGGCTCCATCTCAAAAAAATTAAAAATAAGAAAGAAAAAGGAAAAGGAGCAACAGAGCTATATAAGAGCAGAGTTTTTATATGTATTACTGAAATTAAGCTGGTATAAATGCAAATTGGAGTATTATAATTTTAGGTTGTTATATATAATATAATCTCCTCTATGACCACGAAGTAAAAAGCTACAAAATATACACAATTGGAAATGAAAAGAGAATCAAAACATTTCACTACAAAAAAAATTAAACATAAAGGTAAACAGTAATGAAGAAAATGAGGGACAAAAAGCCCAAAGGCATATAGAAAACAAGTAGCAAAGTGGCAGTAACTTGGCTGATAGTCATTTCTTTAAATCAAGACGGAGATTGCCAAAATGTATTTTTAAAAACATCACCCAACAATATGCTGTCTATAAAGGATTCGTGTTAGATCCAAAGACATAAATATGTTCAAAGCAAAAGAGATGGAAAAGGATATTGCATGCAAATAGTAACCAAAAGACAGCTGGAATGTCTATGCAAATATCAGACAAAATTGACTTTACATGAAAACAATTTACAAGAGATAAGACAGACATTACAAATTAATAAATAAGATATAACAGTTATAAACATTTCTGCACCTAATAACAGACCTCAAAATATAAAGCAAAAACTGATAGACTCAAAGGAGAAATACACAGTTCTACCAAGATAGCTGGAGAGTTCAAAATCCCACTTTCAATAGTGGATAGAACACACAGACAGAAAATAAGTAAAAATATAGTGGACTTGAATAACACAAAAACCAACTAGACCTAACAGACACATATGGAACACTCACCCGATTAAAAAAAAATCCAAGTGCACATGAGACATTCTCTATGATAGATGACATGTTAAGCCATAAGTTAAATCTCAGTAGATTTTAAAATAAATATAAAACGAACTATCTTCTTTGACCACAACAAGATACAGTTAGAAATCAATAGAAGGAAAAATGAAAATTCACAAATATGTGAAAATTAAACAACACTATCTTAAACAATCAATAGGTCAAAGAAGAAATCACAAAGGAAATTAGAAAATACTTAGTGACAAGTGAGAAAGAAAACAAAATATGCCAAAACTTATGAGATGCCCCAAAAACTGTGCTCAGAGGGAAAGTAATAGCTATTAATGTACATGTTACAAAGAAGAACTATCTCAAATTAATAACCTGACTTACACCTTACGGAACTAGAAAAAGTAGAGCAAACAAAACCCAAAGCCAGCAGAAGAAAGGAAATAATAGAGACTAGAGCAGAAACTAATAGAGAAAGAGAACAGACAAAAAATCTATAAAACCAAAAGTTGGTTTTTTGAAAAGATTAACAAAATTGGCAAACCTTTGGCGAGACTGATGAAGCACAAAAGAGAGAAGACGCAAATAACTAAAATTAGAAATGAAAGTGGCAATACCACTAATTTTAAACCACCTAGCAAAGAAAAATCTTAAACCAGATGGTTTCACGAGTTAGCTCAACCAAACATTTAAAGAAGAATTCACACAAATCATTTTCAAACTTCCAAAAAATTGAAGAGAAGGAAACACTTTCTAATTCATTCTGTGCAGCCAGTATTACCATAATACCAAAGTCAAATAAAGAAATCACAAGAAAATTAGACTAAAACCCCTATGAATATAGATACAAATATCCTCAAAAAAATTAGCAAATCAAATCCATTAGCATATTAAAAGGATTACTCACCATATCCAAGTATGATTTATGCAGGAATGCAAGGGTGGTTCAACACAAGAAAATCAATCAATGTAATACATCACATTATTAGAATGAAGGTAAAAAACACACATATGATCATCTGAATTAATAAAGAAAAGGTACTTGACAAAATTCAACACACCTTCATGATTAAAAAAAACAAAACAGAATTCCTCAATGTGATAAATGATATTTATGAAAAACTCACAGCTAACATCATACTCAATGGTGAAAGTTTGAAAGCTTTCCCCCTAAGATCAGGAATAAGACAAAGATGCTCACTTCCACCATGGCTATTGAACACTGTACTGGAAGTTCCACCCAGAGCTATCAGACAGAAAAAGGAAATAATAAGGCATCCAAATTGGAAAGAAAGCAGTAAAACTATCTCTATTTAGAGATGACATGATCCATATATAGAAAATCCAAAAGAATTCACAAGACAGTTACTACAGTTAAACCAATTGCAGGGTACAAGATCAACACACAAAAATAATTCGTGATTCTACGCACCAGCACTGAACAATCTGAAGAGGAAATTGAGAAAACAATTCCATTTACAACAGCATCTAAAACAATTAAATACTTAGGAATAAATCTAACCGAGGAGGGGAAAGACTTGTACACTGAAAATTACAAAAGATTGCCAAAATAAATTAACAAATATCTAAATAAATGGCAAGATGTGTTCATGGATAGAAAGACTTAATGTTAAGATGTCAATACTACCCAAAACAATCTACAGATTCAACACAACGCTGACCAAAATTCCAACATCTTTTTCCAAAGAAATGGAAGCAGATCCTCAAATTAATATGGAGTTTTAAGGGGTCTCCAATAAACAAAACAATACTGAAAGAAAAAAATAAAGTTGGAGGACTCACACTTCCCAACTGTGAACTTACTACAAAACTACAGTAATTAAAACATATGGTACTTGCATAAGGATAGGCATATAGATCAATGAAATAGAATGCAGAACCCAGAAACAAACCCTCACACATATGATTGATTGATTTTTGATAAGGAAGCCAAGACCACTTAATGGGAAAAGGACAGTGTTTTCAACAAATGGTAGAGGGAAAACTGAATATCCACATGCAAAAAAATGAAGTTGGACCCTTCTACCACATACTAAAATTAAAATGGCTCAGGCCGGGTGCAGTGGCTCACACCTGTAATCCCAGCACTTCGGGAGGCCAAGGTGGGTGGATCACTTGAGGTCAGGAGTTCGAGACCAGCCTGGCTAACATGGTGAAATCCCATCTCTACTAAAAATACAAAAATCAGCCCGGTGTGGTGGCACGCACCTGTAATCCCAGATACTTGGGAGGCTGAGGCACAAGAATCGGTTGAACCCGGGAGGCGGAGGTTGTAGTAAGCGGAGATCACACCACTGCACTCAAGCCTGGGTGACAAAGTTAGACTCCGTCTCAAAAAATAAAATGAAATAAAATAAAATGGTTCAAAGACTCAATTTAAGAGTTAAAACTATAAAACTCTTAGATGAAAATATTGTTGAAAATCTTCATCACATTGAACTTGGCAACAATTGCATAAATAGGAGACCAAAAGTACAAGGAAGAAAAAATAGTAGGTAAATTGAACTTCATTAAATTAAGAACTTTTGTGCACCAAAGGACACTATCAAGAAAGTGAAAAAACCTGGAGAATGGAAGAAAATATTTGCAAATCATATATCTAACAAGAGATTAATATCCAAAGTATATATAGAACTCCTACAACTTGACAACAAAAAAAAACAACCCAGTTCAAAAATGGACAAAGTACTTGAATAGACACTTCTCCAAAGAAGATATACTAATGGACAATAAATTCGTGAAAATATGCTCAACATCATTAGTCATTGGGGAAATGCAGATTACAACCACAATGAGATGCCACTTCACACACTAACCAGGATGGCTATAATCAAGAAAATGGATAATAAGTTTTGGTAGGGATGTGGAGAAATTGGAATCCTCCATGCATTGCTGGTGGGAATGGAAAATAGTGCAGCCACTGGGCAAAACAGTTTGGTAGTTCCTCAAAAGGTTAAAAATAGAACTACCAAGTCACCCAGCAATTCCATTCCTAGGCATATATTCAAAAGAAATGAAAGCAGATATTTGTACACCACAGTGTTCACGGCTGCACCATTTACAATAGTCAAAAGGTAGGAACAACCTATGTCCATCCACAAATGAATGGATAAATAAAACGTAGCATATACATACAATGGTACACTAGTTCGCCGTAAAAAGAAATTTTGATCTTACTTCATGCTACATGACTTTGACATACTACAACATGGATGGACCTTGAAAACATTATTCTTTATGCAATAAACTAGACACAGGACAAATGTTAGACGATTCCACTTATATGAGGCATCTAGAATGGGCAATTTAATAAGCAAAGTAGAATAGAAATGACTAGGGGCAAGGGTAGCGGGTAATGTGGAGTTATTGTTTAATGGGCACAGAGTTTATGTTGGGGGTGATGAAACAGTTTCAGGGATAAAGAGTGGTGACTGGTACACGACATTGTGAATGTACTTAATGCCATTGGATTTTACACTTAAAATGGTTAAAACGATAAATATTATAGCTTGCATATTTTATCATAAAAACATTTTTAAAAATGATGAAGGAACGTGAACGGGTTGAAATTTTATAAAAAGTGGCCAGGGAAGGTGTCACTGCAAAAGTGTCCTACCGGAGGAGGAAGTTCATGTGAACATCTGCGGGAAGGGTGTTCTGGCAGAGGGAGTAGCACGGGCGATGGCTCTGAGGACTGTGAGAAGCATATTTGGAAACAGCGAGGAGGCCAGGGTGTCTGAAGCTGAGTAAGCCAGAGAGAGTGGGAGGAGGTGAGATAAGAGAGGGAAGGTCAGTTTCTGCTGAGAGTGAGGAGGAGCCACAGGAGGGCTGTAAGCAGGTGGACGTAAACTGGCTTGAGTGTTAACAGGGCCAGTAAAAAAAGCACGCATGGGTACCGAAACCAGCCAGTGACCAGTTGGCAACTTGGGGGAGTCTAACGCGAGGAAGCGCCCAGGGTTCCCCCAGGATGCGCTTCCCCTCGCCGCCACCTGGAGACAGCAGAGTCGCGCCCAGCGCTGCGCAGGCTGATCGCCGCGCCGCGCCCCGGACCTCGGTTGCAGGTGGCTAGTCGCGGGAATTCCTACGCGGAAACCGGTTCCAGGCCCAGCGCCTTCGCTCGGCCCCTTTAAGAGCCAGAATTTCCGGAGGGCTGACCTGGGGCTAGGGATGCCCAGGGGCCGAACCACAAGTTGGGAACGGGTGGGGGAGGTGGCGAAAACTTCCGAAGTGGAATTCCAACTTTTCCTGGGCCTGATTCCCCTCGGGCATCCCTGAGGGGGCAGAGCTTCCCTTCCGGGGACTTCAGAGGGTTCCTCAGGTCATCTAACTGGGAGACACAGGGGGCCTGAAGCGCCCCCCTCCACCCGGTCCGGACGAACCCCAGTGGAAGTGGAGAAGTCAGGCGCCACCGACAAGCCTCTCCCCGCCAGGACTTTGCTTAGACTCGCTCCTCCCGGCAGGGCGCACCTAGGCGGGTCCATCGCCCGCCGGGGAGAGGGGTGTGGGTATGGAGGGAACAGGTGCGCTGCGGGACCTGCCCTATCTCAACAGGTGAATCGCTCCAAGTGGGTCTCGGTTTCGTGGATCTCGGTGCGCTTAGTTTGGCCGCAGCAGATGGGGGCCGGACGGGACCTGTGGTCCGCAGGCGCCCTCCCAGCGGGCCAGTCACTTGGTTCGGGCCCTGGGGGCTGGAGCGCACCTGGGTCAGCCCACTTCCGGGGAGGGAGGCAGAGGAACCCCTCCCCGCCACTCACCCCCAAGCCCAGCCCTCGGCTCCCACCCTTGTGTACCTGGGACGAACCATTCACCGGAGCGCGCAGCGGGTGGAGTGTGGCTCGGAGAACCGCGGCGGGTCAAGCACCTTTCTTCCCCATATCTGAAAGCGTGCCCTTTGTCCACGTCGTTTACGTTCATTAAAACTTCTAGAACGCAGCAGGATGGACTTGTTGTAGGGACAAGGAACGGAAGTGGGAAGGGGAGGAGCGTGCACCCCTCCTGCCCTTGGTGCGCCCCGCGCCCCCTAAGATACTTTGGAAGGGACGCGCGGGCCGGACGCGCCCAGACGGCCGCGATGGCGCTGGTGGCCTGCGGGCTCTCTAGAGGGCTGGGCTCCCACCCGGCCGCCCCAGGCCGGGACGCGGTAGTCTTCGTGTGGCTCCTGCTTAGCACCTGGTTCACAGGTATGGGGCACGGGGCCCCTGACGCTGCGGAACGGCGGAGGGCACCGTAGAGGGGGATGGATGGAGTTGGAGGCGGCGGGGGCGCCTAGGGCGCGGGGAGCGGGAGGTCTCAGAGGCTGGGTCCTTACGATCCCCTGGGTCTTGGGCGATCTCTTGCGTGCCGGAGTGAGAGGAATTCCCCATCCGTGCCTGGGAGCGCTCCCCCCGCCCTTATCTGGGAGATAGCAGGAAGTGAAACTCCCTGGACGGTAAGACCCGGAGCGGCAGGAAGAATGGAACTCTTTGTGGGGAGGGAGTGGGGGACCGCCCGATCACTAGGAAAAGAAAAGCCGGGATGGGGCTTGGGCGCACCCGGGGTTTTCTAAGTGTTGGAGTAACGGGGAGAGGGCACGGGAGGGCTGGATCAGACGCTTCCTAGAGGGACAGAGACGAAGGAACAATGCCCAGGCCTCGGGTGGGTGTGGGACTAGGGACTCCCCATCCCCCGCACCCCACCCACCTCCCGCAGGTTCCGGATTATACGTGCGTAAGAGTCTGGTGGGGTGGATTTACGGACTTGAAACCGACTTCTGCTGGCAGGCTTTCACCTGAATGGGATGTTTGGGTAGTGATGAGGTTTTTCAGCAGACGCTTTTGGTGAAGTCGTTTGAAATGACTTTAGAGTAGGGTGAGGTGGTGGGAGGCTGATGGAGATATTGTGGGGGCTTTAGTCCCTCCATGGCAAAGCAGTTCAGGCAAACAACTCTGCGGTTTTCCCTCCAAATTCAAAAGACCCCGGGTAACCTGGAATCCTTGGTAGTCGGTTTTGAAGTGGGGCCTTGGGCGCTGGGGGCATTGACATGGCCATTTGGGCTTGCCTGCCCAGGCCACACAGAGGCCCCTTGCTGTGGGTGAATGGCAAAGGGAAGAGGAGACTGGTGTGATTCAGAGGCCACAGGCTGGGAAGAGGGATGGCGGATGAGTCCAAGGAAACTGGCCGTGTCACCGTGCACCTGCCACTTCAGCCCCACGGGTCTATAAAATGGGCATGATTATCCTGCCTACCTCACTGGTCCTGGCGATTAAGGAACAATGTGTGCCAGGCACTCTATATGTAAGCCACACACTTGCAAGTGTCAAGCTGGTGACAGGCGGCGTTCCTGTTGAAACACTTCCCTGAGCTCACAGCAACCCCTGCTTCTCTCTTCTTGCCCTCAGCCCCTGCCAGGGCCATCCAGGTGACTGTGTCCGACCCCTACCATGTGGTGATCCTCTTCCAGCCTGTGACCCTACCCTGTACCTACCAGATGACCTCGACCCCCACGCAACCCATCGTCATCTGGAAGTACAAGTCTTTCTGCCGGGACCGCATCGCTGATGCCTTCTCCCCAGCCAGCGTCGACAACCAGCTCAATGCCCAGCTGGCAGCCGGGAACCCAGGCTACAACCCCTACGTTGAGTGCCAGGACAGCGTGCGCACCGTCAGGGTCGTGGCCACCAAGCAGGGCAACGCTGTGACCCTGGGAGATTACTACCAGGGTCGGAGGATTACCATCACCGGAAGTATGTTGGGCGGGGCAGGGGGATGAGGCTGGGCTTGCCTGGGTGGTGGGGCTGGCATCCTTGTACTGGACCTGGAGTCCCCATCTGAAAGCTCTTGAGTGCCAGTGTCTGAAAGGACCAATGAGGGGAACAATTCTTTTTTTTTTTTTTTTTTTTTTGAGATGGAGTCTTGCTCTGGACTCCAGGCTTCCAGGCTGGAGTGCAGTGGTGTGATCTCGGCTCACTGCAACCTCCACCTCCCAGGTTCAAGCAATTCTCCTGCCTCAGCCTCCCGTGTAACTGGGACTCCAGGCATGTACCACCACGCCCAGCTAATTTTTATATTTTTAGTAGAGATGGGGTTTTACCATGTTGGCCAGGCTAGTCTCAAACTCCTTACCTCAAGTGAACTGCCCACCTTGGCCTCCCAGAGTGCTGGGAGACACCATACCCAGCCTAAAGGGAGCAATTCTATTCTACTATTCTTCCTTCTGCTAATCTTTCCATTCCTTAATTTAATAACGAAGATTTTTTGAGTACCTGTCATATACCAGGTGCTGTTCTGGGTCCTGGGAATACAGCTGTTAACAAAATCATCAGGCCTGGCGCCGTGGCTCACGCCTGTAATCCTAGCACTTTGGGAGGCTGAGACGGGTGGATCACGAGGTCAGGAGATCGAGACCATCCTGGCTAACACGGTGAAACCCCGTCTCTACTAAAAATACAAAAAATTAGCCGGGCTCGGTGGCGGGCGCCTGTAGTCCAGCTACTCAGGAGCCTGAGGCAGGAGAATGGCGTGAACCTGGGAGGCGGAGCTTGCAGTGAGCGGAGATGGCGCCACTGCACTCCAGCCTGGGGCACAGAGCGAGACTCCCTCTCAAAAAAAAAAAAAAAAAAAAAAATCATCAAACTGTTTCCCTCATGGAGCCCACATTGCAGTGAGAGAGACAAACAAAACACACACTCTCAAGTGCTTGAAGATAAAGAAAACTAGGTAATGGAGAGAGGAGGCCAGGGTTTGTTCTATAATCATATTAATAACACGAGCAGTAAGAGGTAAAATTTATCTAAGTAACAACTTATAAAGGGTCTACTGTGTGCTAAGCTCCCATCCAGGTTCCCAAGGATTAACTCAGACCACATAGTATTTGAATAGATTCTATTACTGTCATCTTACAGAGGCCCAGAGAGAGAAAGTGACTTGCCTAGTATCACATCGCTGGTAAAGGGGCTGGGATTCTAACTCGGCCACTTTGGGTCCAGTGGCCAAGTTCCTAATCCCTTTGCTTGCCTAGGGTGGTCCACAGAGGACTCAGGAGGTGGCAGGAGTGAACTGCAGGGGCAAGAGATCTTAATGGAGAAAGCCTACGACGTGCCAGGAACTGCACACACATTCTCCCATTGAGTCGTCTCCTCTACCCTCCCGACAGCTGAGGCACAGAGAGGTTACCTTGTTCAAATGGGCGCATAGGAAGTCAAAGTCTGGAGCTGGGGTTTGAACCCAGGCAGCCCTGAGAACCCTTGTTCTTAACTGTAGTGCTGCCTCCTGATAGGATGTGCCTGTTGGGACTAAGTAAAGGGCAGTCATTCATTCATTCATTTGGTATTTATCAAGCATCTACTATGTGTCATTGGTGCTGGGGATAGAGGTGATTGGGGTGGCTGGTTTCTGTCCTCAAGGAGATGACTTGAACCTGGGAGGCGGAGGTTGCCGTGAGCCAAGACTGTGCCACTGCACTCCAGCCTGGGCAACAGAGTGAGACTCCGTCACAAAAAAAAAAAAAGAAAAAAGAAAAGAAAATAGCACTGGGTGATGTGCTACCTGGAGTGACTTGGGCTGTGAATATGATTTGAGGAGGGCCTGGGCCTGGGCCCTACAGAACCTAGAAGACAGGAAGGGGAGGGGCAGGGTGCCAGGGATGAGGGCTCATCTACCTCATGTCTTAGTGTGTGTTCACTGTCTTAAACAAGCATTTACAGTTGGGCATGGGGCAGAAGGGGGAAGGGAGCATCCCTTTGCAGACCCCAGGAAGCCAGGAACTGGAGCACATTCTGCTAGAGGATCTATGGGAAGCAGGGTTCCAGGGGCTGAGCCCGTGTCAGTTCTGTTTCAGAGGAGGCACCAGGCTTGCTTGCCCTGGATTTCTGTGGGCCGCTCAGCCATGAGCATCCTACTGTTACTGAGGTCACAGAGCTTCTTAGGCCCCCTCCCCTCTAACCCAGGGATTGTGCCTGCCTGGACTGGGCATGACTGCTCAGCTCCTGCCAGGACAAGCCAAATACTGAGGGTACTTCCTCTGCTGGGCACAAAAGTCCAGGATGACCCCCCCAGGCTCTGTCTGGGGAAAGGGGCCCTGCATGCGCCAGGGGCCTCACAGGCCTGAGTCTTTCAAACCACCCCCACCTGGGCCCGTGTTTGATCAAGGCCCTGAGTGTAAACATCCATTGTGTGTGTGTCCTTTCAGGAAAACCCGTAGCCATAGGAGCTTCCTCCGTTTCAGCTTTGAGGATGGGGAAAAGTGGACTCCCCGTGGTGTTCCTAGGGTCACCCACTGTGCTGCTTTTTTTGTTTTTTTGTTTTTTTTTTCTGTCGGCCAGGCTGGAGTGCAGTGGTGTGATCTCAGCTCACTGCAACCTCAGCCTCCCAGGTTCAAGCGATTCTCCTGCCTCAGCCTCCAGAGTAGCTGGGATTACGGGTGCACATCACTACACCTGGCTAATTTTTGTATCTTTTTGGTAGAGATGGGATTTTGCCATGTTAGTCAGGCTGGTCTCAAACTCCTGACCTCAGGTGATCTGCCTGCCTCGGCCCCCCAAAGTTCTGGGATTACAGATGTGAGCCACCATCCCCGGCCTATCCTGGTTTCAAAAGTGAAAATAGTCCTGGGTGAACTAGGAGGCTGTCCACTCCAGGCGTCCCTCAGGTCAGGTGGCTCATGCCCTGCTTCATCCTTTCATGCTTTGGGTGATAGACCAGCACCTGGACAAGAGGCCCTGTTCCACCTCCTCAGGCTCCTTGGGGTCCAAGTGCCCCCAACTCCAGCGGCACTGCAGCAGAGAGCCCATGGGACCTCCGAAATCATGAAGGTCACCTTTGCAGTGTATAAAGGAACCAGAGATTGGAGATGTGGAGGAGGCCTGGCTGCTGTTCCCACTGGAGACCTGGCATCTCCTCCCCTAACCTAAAACAATGAAAGCAATGCTCAGCCCGGGTGAGATCAGCGCCAGCCCAGGACCAGGAACAGGGTACGCCCTGCAGGAAGAAGGTGCGCCCAGGCCTTAGGATGGATCAAAAGAAGCCAGAAAACTATATTTTTTGTGGGTTTTGAAAACGTCAGACAGGTCAAATAAAACACAGTGAGGTCCAGCCTTGGCCTATGAGTTGCCAGATTTCAACCCCTGGCCTATAAGATCCATTTGCCATGGCAGGGGGTTCCTATCCACCTCTTTTGCTTACAGCAGGGACCAGCTCTTGAGCTCCATTGTTGGAGAGGCATAGTCAGGGTCTGATCTGAAGACACTGGTGGCTCATGCCTATAATCCCAGCACTTTGGGAGGCTGAGGCAGGAGGATTGCTTGAGGACAGGAGTTGGGAGAACAGCCCCGGGCAACACAGTGAGACCCAGACACTACAAAAAATAAATTAGCGGGGCATGATGGTGCTCCCTGGTAATTCCAGCTACTCTGGAGATGGGAAGATTGCTTGAGCCCAGGAGTTCGAGGCTGCAGTGACCCATGATCGCACCACTGCACTCCAGCCTGGGCGACAAAGCTAGGCCCTCTCAGAAAAGATACAGGTGGAAAAATGATGGACGAAGAGGGCATTGTGGCAAACCTGGAGGATTTAGGAGAACCTAGTTTAGAATTCTATGTGGATTCAATGAAAGAATGTATGCAGAGGGGCCCAGCACATAGTAAGAGCTCAATAAATGGTAGGGGCACAGGGCAGTGGCTCACGCCTGTAAAATCCCAGCACTTTGGGAGGCCGAGGCAGGTGGATCACTTGACAGTGGCTTAGATGCCTGATCATTAGGGGAAGTCGTGTCCTCAACCCCTTCACATCTGCTCTGAAGGTCACCATATCCGGAAGCCTCCCTGGCCTCCTTGTTTAAAATGGCACAGCCCCCACTCTATGCCTGGCACTCTCTGTCTGCTGTCCCTGATTCGTTTTCTCCATACAGCTTATCTTTGTCTGATATGTGACATAGTTACATTTTTTATTTGTCTTTCTTTCTCAGTTGGAATCTGAGCTCTGGAAGGACAAGGGCAAGGATTTATAACTCAAAGGTTCTGGGCTTAGGCCTCTTTACACTCTTGATTTTGAGGTTAATTAAGAGCTCAGGCCTAGCGAAGTGGCTCATGCCTGGAATCCCAGCACTTTGGGAGGCCCAGGCGGGCAGATCACTTGAGGTCAGGAGTTCCAGATCAGCCTGGCCCACATAGTGAAAGCTCTGTCTCTACTAAAAATATAAAAATTAGCCAGTTATGGTGGCAGGCGCCTATAATCCCAGCTACTCAAGAGGCTGAGGCAGGAGAATCGCTTGAACCCAGGAGGCGGAGGCTGCAGTGAGCCAAGGTCGCGTCACTGCACTCCAGCCTGAGCAACAGAGCGAGACTCGATCTCAAAAAATAATAATAATAATAATAATAAGAGCTCAAAGAGTTTGTTTTCAAAGGTAGCAGACTGAGAAAAGTTTACAAAATAGTTTAAATGACAGCTCATTATAGATTAACATAAATAAAATAATTTTTATGAAAAACAATCATTTTCTGAAACCAGACAAAATATTGTGAATGAGAAGGTGGCATGGTTTTATTGTTTTGCAAGTCTCTGAAGCCTGGCTGGATAGAAGAGCCTGGCTTCTCAAAGCTGCCTCAGTCTGCTGTGATGTCTATCATATGTCACGTAGCCTCTGGAAAACTCCAGTTAGTATTGTTGGGAAAATAACTTTGACCTCAGGGTCTCCTGAAAATGTCTTGGGGAACCCCAGGGTCTAGAGGCTGCAGTTTGAGAACTGTTGCTGTGGTATACCAGGTGTCTCAAATACTGCCTAGAGCGTAGGTGGCACTCAGTAATTATTGTTGAAGAATGAATGAATGAATGAATGAATGAATGAAATGTGTCTTTGAATCCAGCCATGTGCCCAGAATGACAGGACAGATGACAAAAGCTAAGGGACTTTAGCATGACAGGAGAGGGGGTTCATTTCCTTTCTTTCTTTCTTTTTTTTTTTTTTTTGCGATGGAGTCTCGCTCTGTTGCCCGGGCTGGAGTGCAATGGCACGATCTCGGCTCACTGCAACCTCTGCCTCCTGGGTTCAAGTGATTCTCCTGCCTCAGCCTCCTGAGTAGCTGGGACTACAGGCACGCGCCACCATGCCTGGCTAATTTTTTACGTTTTTGGTAGAGATAGGGTTTTACCATGTTGGCCAGGCTGGTCTGGAACTCTTGACCTCGTGATCCACCCGCCTCAGCCTCCCAAAGCGTTGGGATTACAGGTGTGAGCCACCGTGTCCGGCCAAGAGGGTGTTCATTTCTACTCCTGGCCAGGTATAGTGTCAGGCACTGGGGACCCAGCAGTGACAGACAGACAGGGCTGTGCCTCGTGGAGCCCACATTTTCACCAGGCAAGGGATGGTCGGCCCCTAAGCTGGGAGATAGACTTCACCAGTTGGTTGGGAGAGCCGTGGGAGAAGCCCAGCCCATTGGGGGACAGTGCGAATCTAGAGCCAAGGCGATGGCAGGGGTGAGGCTGGCATGGTAGCTAGAGACCATGTTGTGCCAAGGGCCTTGGGGACCGTGGGACCTTAGGGAAGGCGTCTGGAATGCTGTAGCGAGACACTGTTGCAAGGAGAATTTTTCTGTAGACAGGAGGCCTTCCTTGTGAAGAAGGAAGAAGGAAAGGGTTCTTTCATTCCTGGAGGTGCCAGGTGCTGTGGACTGGCACGCGTGGTTGCTGCCATCACAGAGCTGTCGTGCAGGAGGGCAGCGCGTCCTTGGGAAGGTGGCAGGCAGGTCAGGCTGGCAGGAAAGAGGCTGGGAAGCTGAGGGCGTTTCCTGCCTGAGATGCCCAGTGTAGCGTACATCTCTCCCCACTGGCCTAAGGCGGAGTTGCCTGGTAGGTGCCTGCATCCTACCCTGGTGAAAGGCTGAAGGTATTTAACTAATTAGGGCCTGAGGAGCAGAGAGGAAACAGGATGTGCCAAAACACTTTGATGGGTGGCAGAGTTAACAGGCTCCTTGTCTGCAGCTGCTTCAGACATGAGCGTCCCCAAGCCCTGGGCCTGACCTGGAATGTGGGGATGGAAGGGGAGGGGGGAGGGTCCAAGGCCCTGGGAGGGTAAGTCTCTCTCCCCCACACAGACACACCCACTCCTTATGGGTGCCTGGGCATCTCCTGGTACCTAGAATCTGGACTGTTTATTTCCACACCCATCGCTGGGGTGTACACTAGGCCCTGTGGGTGGCAGTTCACATCAGGGGAGTTCACACTTTGGATCTGAGAGGTGGTTCAGAGACGGCTGGAAGTTGAGAAGCACAGACTGCTGGGTGTGGTGGCTCACGCCTGTAATCCCAGCACTTTGGGAGGTGAGGTGGGTGCGTCACCTGAGGTCAGGAGTTCGAAACCAGCTTGGTCAACATGGCGAAACCCCATCTGTACTAAAAATGCAAAAATTAGCCAGGCATGGTGGCAGGTGCCTGTAATCCCAGCTACATGGGAGGCTGACACAGGAGAATCGCTTGAATCTGGGAGGCGGAGATTGCAGTGAGCCAAGATTGGATCACGCCATTGCACGCCAGCCTGGGCAGCAAAAGTGAAACTCTGATTCAAACAAAAAAAGAGAGCTGGGTGTGGTGGAGTGTGCCTGTAGTCCCAACTACTCAGGAGACTGAGGTGGGAGGATTGCTTGAGTCTGGGAGGTTGAAGCCGCAGTGAGCTATAATTACATCACTGCACTCCAGCCAGGGCCACAGAGTGAGACCCTGTCTCGAAAGAAAGACAAAAAAACCAACCTCAGGCTCTGAGGGCACCATTACTGCTCTACACTGAAGAGCTGTGCAGCTTTTCCAGACCCGATATGTCATCCACAAAACAGGAGTGATAATGGCCCTGCCTCACAGACTTCTTGTAGTAGCCCAGGTGTTTCGAACGGGGCATAAAAGGCCGCGTGCTGTTGGTAGGAATCTTTGCATATGCATTTGATCATCTTCAGCCTGCCCAGCCCACCGCTTGCCCCCTCCTGGATGTGCTGGGAAGGGGGCTCTGGCCCTCATGGGGTTAGATGCCCCGGCCTCTAAGCTGCCCTCACGCCTTTTCATCCTGACCCAGATGCTGACCTGACCTTTGACCAGACGGCGTGGGGGGACAGCGGTGTGTATTACTGCTCTGTGGTCTCAGCCCAGGACCTCGAGGGGAACAATGAGGCCTACGCAGAGCTCATCGTCCTTGGTGAGTGGGCCTGGGAAGGGGGAGGCATGGCCCTTCCTTTTGTCCGCTTCTGTTCTGTCTGTCCTCCCCCGTGTCCGCCCTCTGCCCTCCAGCTTACCCTCTGGGCTCTGTCGCCTGCTCTGCTCTCCACCAGGCTCTGCCAGTCACTTAGGCTCCCCTGTGCCTTGCACCCCAGGCAGGGACCACTGGCCCATGGTGCCTCCAATCAGCCAAGCCAAACTAAGAGTGGAGAGAATTGGCGACTCTGCCTCTTCAAAGTTTCATTTAAAAAAAAATCCAGACTTGGGGTCCGGGTGCAGTAGTTTATGCCTGTAATCCCAGCACTTTGGGAGGCGGAGGCAGGTGGATCACTTGAGGCTAGGAGTTCGAGAACAGCCTGGCCAACATGGCAAAATCCCGTCTCTACAAAAAACATAAAAGCCAGGCGTGGTGGTGCACATGCCTGTAATCCCAGTTACTCAGAAGGCTGAGGCATGAGGATTGCTTGAACCCGGGAGGCAGAAGTTGCAGTGAGCCAAGATCACGCCACTGCACTCCAGCCTGGGCGACACAGCGAGACTCCGTCCCCCCAAAAAAAAAAAAAATTCAGACATGGTCAGAGTCCATGGGCAGTGAATGAGGACAGTTGATGGTGTGCAAAATTGACCCACCTCCTGCTACATCCCCAAGGCCTCATCTCACCTGAGTCCCTCGCTAAAGCACAGTGGCTTTGCCGTGTGCCCCGCTGGGATGGCGCTGCATGGCACACACAGAGTGTGGGAGTGCAGCTGAAACGAAGCCGATTCCAGACACCCAGGGGCAGGGCGGGGTGTCTGTGTGGCTGGGAGGCCTCCCTCCATGTGTTAGGGGGATGCTGCCATCCGCCAGGTGCCCTGCTGTAAGCCAACACACGGAGTCTCGTGTGGCGTGTGCTCGGCAGGAGTGACGCCGCTGGGCTGTGCACTGCCATCTTCACATGTGTGAGTGAGCACGTGACTGGGGAGTACTTGGGCTGCAAGACAGAATCCATGCGTGGGGGACGGAACACGTGCACCAGTGACCCAGGAACCTCTTCGTGTTCTTTGGTAAAATGTATCATTTGCATCGGCAGTTCCCAAAATTTAGTCTCCGGGTCTGTTTACACTCTAAAAAATTATCGAGGGTCTCCAAGAGCTTTTGTTTGTTCCTGTGGGTTTTGTGTCTATATGTTGCTTAATATATTAGGAATTAAAATGGGGAAATTTTTCAAGCCCAAGATACACAAGCAAGACTGGGCAACATGGCAAGACCCTGACTCTACAAAAAATTTTAAAATTAACCAGGCGTGGTGGTATGCACCTGTGGGCCCAGCTTCTTGGGAGGCTGAGGCAGGAGTATCGCTTGTGCCCAGGAGGTCAAGGCTGCAGTGAGCCGTGATTATGCTACTGCACTCTAGCATGGGTGACAGAGACCCTGGCTGAAGAAAAACACACACACACAAGCATATAGTCCATTAGGCATCAGGGCGATGATGACTTCAGGGAGCCTGGGAAACTCCACTGGACATTCATGGGAGAACAAGTGAAAAAGGCAACTAACATCTTAGTGTTATTCTAAAAATACTTCTTCTGGCCTTGTGGACAGGACCATGCTTTGAGAGCCGTGACTGACATGCCTCTGTCCTGTTGCGAGGGCCTACGGTGCCAAGTGCATGAGCTCTGGGGAGGGCTTCCTGGGTGCAGAACTGGGCCTGTGGAGGCACCTCAGACACAATGCTGGTGGGGCTCAGAGCTCCAGGGGGCACTCGAGGGAAGATAAGAACCTGGTCTGAGATGCACGAATGTGATAGTGCCTGAGTAGAGATGGAGACCCTGTGGGCCCCAGAACCAGGACTGCGTATGACTTTCATGTGTGGGCATTTTTGCTTCAATGGGTCCCTTCCTATTTTAAAAAAAAATTTGTGATTATGTTCTCACAAAGACAGTTTATTACTATATATTCAGTGTTTATTTTTTTTCAGATTTGTAAAGTAAAATTAAACCATTTCAGCCAGGTGTGGTGGCACCTGCCTGTAGCCCTAGCTACTTACTCCCGAGGCTGAGGTGGGAGGATCGCCTGAGCCCAGGAGGTTGAGGCTGCAGTGAGCCATGATCGCACCCCTGCACTCCAGACTGGGCGACAGAGCTGAGATCCTGTCTGTCTCTATCTCGTGGGCCCTAGGGCACTGTGCCTGCTGGAACAGGACATCCCTGTCACCGTGGTTGGAGCCCTTTGGGGTGCTAAAACCTATGAATGAGGAAAACTTAGGGTGCCCAAGCTGAGGTAGAGCCCTCAGAACCCCCTGGGATTTGTGTTGGAGCCCTCGTGGCGTGAGACACAGGTGGATTATGCAATGGGAATTTCTTTCCTATAGCACCCACATGTGGGCGGGTGGAGGGCAGGAGCCGTGCACTAGGGCTTCAGTCCTCAGCCCCTCCCCACTTCAGGGCACATCTTCCACTTGGCCAGCCTGGAACTGGGCTTTTGGGGGCGGCGCAGCCTGGGCTGGCTCTGGCCAGCATAATCTATTTCTCTTTTGTCCCTCCAGGGAGGACCTCAGGGGTGGCTGAGCTCTTACCTGGTTTTCAGGCGGGGCCCATGGAAGGTACGGGGGGTGGATCCTGTGTGGGGCTTCTCAGGAGCTCCCACACATCACCTACTGCTTCTGACTCTAGTTAGTATCCCCTTCCCCACTAAACCCTGCTCACTGTGGACCCCTCACTAACCTGGCCTGACTGTGGCTCTGAGGCATCTAGTGGCCTGGGCTGGGCTGGGCTGAGGAGAGCCGGGGTGCAGGCCGGGGCTCTGTGACTGGCACCTGCGGTGCTCTTAAGGGCGTGGCGTCTGGGCAGCTGGCTCTCTTTGGTCTGGGGGCTGCAGTCTGTCTCCCTCTGGGCAGGCTGCCTCTTGTTTTCTGCCTTGTGTATTTGCACCTGCGGGAGGGCCCTAACTGGGGACTGGCTGGGATGGTAGAATGGGGAGTGTGCCATGCCCAGCCTCTGGCACGAAGAATCCAGCCAGGGCTGCAGGTTCCTTGGTGAGCTTTGCAAATAGTCGCCGACCTCAGTGCTGGTTGCGCACCGTGTGCCCCTGCTGTGCCCTGTTCCCTCCCAAGCCTCCGGGCTCAGGGCCTGTTCTCTCTTTGCAGACTGGCTCTTCGTGGTTGTGGTGTGCCTGGCTGCCTTCCTCGTCTTCCTCCTCCTGGGCATCTGCTGGTGCCAGTGCTGCCCACACACTTGCTGCTGCTACGTCAGGTGCCCCTGCTGCCCAGACAAGTGCTGCTGCCCTGAGGCCCGTAAGTGCCCTGCTCATGGCCACCCTGGTTTGGGCAACATCCTGAGTCTGAGGGAAGGAGTTGGCCATCCACCTGCCCCCAGGACAGTGGCATTGGTCTAGAGGGTGTGAATTTAGCAAGTGGGGAGAAAGTAGGCTGAGGAGGGTCTGCTGCTTTAGACTGTCATTTACTTCCTCCAACTTTCAGTTTCTTTTTATGTATGTTGTTTTTTTCTTTTGTAAGTATAATCCATACACATGGTAAAAATGTTCAACAGTACAAGATACTATTCACATGAAAGTAAAGCCCTCTTAAAAAACCAAATCTTGGCCAGGCCCAGTGATTACGCCTGTAATCCCAGCACTTTGCGGGGCCAAGACGAGCAGATCACTTGAGGTCGGGAGTTCCAGCTCAGCCTGGCCAACATGGTAAAACCCCGTTCTCTACTAAAAATACAAAAATTAGCTGGGCATGGTGGTGTTCGCCTGTAATCCCAGCTACTCAGGAGACTGAGGCATGAGAATCGCTTGAACCCAGGAAGTGGAGGTTGCAGTGAGCTGAGATCACGCCACTGCACTCCAGCCTGGGCGACAGAGTGAGACTGTCCCAAAAAAAAAAGAAAAAAGAAAACAAATCTTAAGTGAAAAAGGTAAGAAACCAAACAAAGTTTACAACACTACATGATTTAAGCAAAAAAATTTTTTTTTTATTTAGAGGGTCTCACTGTCATCCAGGCAGTGCAGTAGTGCGATCATAGCTCACCGCAGCCTCCAACTCCTGGGTTTAAGCAATCCTCCTGCCTCAGCCTCTAGAGCAGCTGGGACTGTAGACACACATCACCATGCCCAGCTAATTTTTTGATTGTTGTTTTTTGTAGAGACGGGGTCTCAGTATGTTGCCCAGCCTGATCTCAAACTCGGCCTCAGGTGATCCTCCCAAGTCAGCCTCCCCAAAGTGCTGGGATTACAGGCATGTGCCATCATGCTAGCCAATTTTTAAAATTTTTTTGTAGAGACAGGGTCTTGCTATGTTGCCCAGGCTGGTCTTAAACTCTTGACCTCAAGTGATCCTGCTTCAGGCTCCCAAAGTGATGGGATTACAGGCATGAGCTACCACACCTGGCCTTAAACTTAAGCAATTTTTTGGAGACATTTTCACTCTGTCGCCCAGGCTGGACTGAAGTGGCGTGATCTCGGCTCACTGCAACCTCCGCCCCCCCGGGTTTAAGCTATTCTCCTGCCTCAGCCTCCTGAGTAGCTGGGATATAGCACCTGCCACCACGCCTGACTAATTTTTGTATTTTCAGCAGAGACAGGGTTTCGCCATGTTGGCCAGGCTGGTCTCGAACACCTGACCTCAGGCAATCCGCACCCCCCGCCCCCCAACCTTGGCTTCCCAAAGTGCTAGGATTACAGGCATGAGCTACTGTGCCTGGCCAAATTTAAGCAAATTTTTAAAAACATATCCACAGGAATGCTGCACATTTTGCCCAGTTACTACGTCTAGGGTCATATCTAGCACACCAGCATGGGTACTGTGGAGAGCTGGGACTGGCTGTGGGACTAGAGCTAAAGGGGAAGTAAGCAAACCAAGCAGGGGAAGGAAGGAAGGTAAGAGAAGACAGAAGAGAGAGAGAGACCTAACTCTATGAGAGGAATCAGACATGTGCAATTTAAAAAGACTTGCTCCTGCCTCTCTTTTGTGAATGTTTGTGATATCCCAACGGGACACTTTCACAGAGGAGCTGATAGACGTGGTCACAGCCATCAGCCCTGGGACACCAGGCCACAGCATGTACACTAAGTGGCACTGATGGACACTTCAGCATCCCTCCAACTGCTGTCCCATTTCCCCTCCTCGGGGACCACAGCTGTTGCCAGTCCTTGGTTTCCTTCAGGAGGGTGTCTGGGTAGACTAGCCTTTCTGCACAGTCCAAGACACATGAACAGTGAAGTACCAGGCAATCCTTGCAAGCGTGGGCAGGTGGAGAGCCGAGGCCTGCTTGACACCTTCCTGCTCAGAAGCCCAGTGAGCAGTTTCCCTCCCTAAAGCTCAGTGTCGTCCTCTGTGAAATGGGGCTTATGGCAAAGCTCACCGCTCTGGGTGCGTTTGGGGATTCGGTGAGCTCATGTGCACGCCATTGAGCATGGGACCTGATCTATATAAAATATTCTACATCTGCCAGCTGCTGGGCACTGCCACTATCAGCCTCGGTAGTGACTGAGGGCCAGGGCACCAGTCAGAGCCCTGGTGCACACAGAGTGACCCCAGAGAAGCAGCCTTCCCTCTCTGAGTCCTGTTTCCTTCTGTTAGGTCCCCACTTCATGGGGTGTTGTGGGTATTAAGGAAGTCACTGACTAATTTTATAGTCATTGAAGTCAGTGGTGTGCAACCTGGTTCCTCAAAGGATCGCTTTCCTGAAAAAATTCCACTGCTCCCTGGAGGCTTATGCAGACCATCCCATCCCCTCCCTCTTGTCGTGTTGAGCTGACAGCTTTTTGCTCAGGCAGTGTCAGGTCCATTTCACAGATGGGCTGCAACCAAGTTTGCAGTGAACCGGCTAAGACCACAGCTAGGGCTAGGACTGTAAATGCTGGTCCCAATGCCACATTCCCCTGTCCCAATACCACATTTCCTCCATCTGGAGACCCTGTTACCCCAGCCTGGGGCCCCATTAACTCTCTGGCAGAGGCCCTGTTACATCTGCTGCTGCCACAGCCTCTGCCCACCTGTCAGGAGGCAGCAGGTCCCACTGCTACTGATGAAGTTGCAGGCTACCTGCGCTAATGAATGGGCTTCCTCTAGGCTGTGCACTTAGCCTTCTGCTTCCAAACCAAATCAGAGGTGAGGCACCCTCTCTGGGCCCATCTCTTTCCTCCATTTTCCTGTTGGGGTCCCAGGGAGGAAGCCACTTGCCTAGGGCCCAGGAACTTTGCAAGCCTCTTGCCCTAGGGAGGAGGATCTTACCTCGGACTGTCAAGCCTAGACCCTGGCAGGGTGGGTAGGAATGGGTGCAGTCCATGAGTTAGAAACACTGGAGGAGATACTGCTGCTTGGCCAGGGCAGGCAAGTTAACTCCTGAGGCTCCTGCCATTGCATCTCGGTCTGGAAGATGACCAGGTGGGCAGGACGCACGTCTCCCAGATGACTCATTTTTTCTAGAGCAGGGGCTTGGCCGCCAAAGAGGATACATGATTTTGGCTTGTGGGGACAGTGGTGGACCCAGCACCTGGGCTTTATATAAAGGGGCAGCTTTGTTGCCCTGTAAACACACAGACCATGGGTGGCCACTTCTTCCAGTAAGTTAGCTGGGGAGTTGGAAGTTTAGGTAAAACCTTTTGATTGGCAAACGTTGGCAAATCACTATGCTGTTAAATGAAACATTGTCCTGCCACCCTGGGGCCATGGGCTGCCTTTGTGCACCCTCTGAAAAATCACACAGGCAGTGGGGTGGGGTCTCCTCAGGGATGCTGCAGAAATGGAATGAGGCCAGCAGGGACTCAGATGCCCACGGAAGATCTACAGTGGAGAGGGCGGCTTGGGAAGGAGGTCCAGGCCCAGGTCCCTCTGAAAGCCAATGGGTATGGGGCAGCCTGACTCCTGCCCCACCCGCCTTCTCATGTTCATTGTGTCCTCACAGTGTATGCCGCCGGCAAAGCAGCCACCTCAGGTGTTCCCAGCATCTATGCCCCCAGCACCTATGCCCACCTGTCTCCCGCCAAGACCCCGCCCCCACCAACTGTGATTCCCATGGGCCCTGCCTACAACGGGTACCCTGGAGGGTACCCTGGGGACCTCGACAGGAGTAGCTCAGGTGAGGCTGGGGGAAGCAGGAACAGCTGGTGGGGGTGTGCTGGGCATCTGGACACTGAGGGGCAGGGGCTGGAAGGAAGAGGGTCTTGGGAGCTGAGGAGGGCCTCTGTTCCTGGTGAGCAGCAACTGACAGCCACTCTCCCCCAGCTGGTGGCCAAGGTTCCTACGTACCCCTGCTTCGGGACACAGACAGCAGTGTGGCCTCTGGTGAGAATCCATCATCCCAAAGTTGGATGTGCCTGTAAGGGAGAGGGCTGGGCCAGGATCCATCCTCCCAAACCGACCACCACCACCCTGTCCTTAGAAGTCCGCAGTGGCTACAGGATTCAGGCCAGCCAGCAAGACGACTCCATGCGGGTCCTGTACTACATGGAGAAGGAGCTGGCCAATTTCGACCCTTCTCGACCTGGCCCCCCCAATGGCCGTGTGGAGCGGGGTGAGCAGGAGCCTTGGGGTCTGAGGGCTTTTAAGCTTGCGGGGGGGAGGGGGGAAGCATGTCTCCCTGATACCTGCCCCAGGGACTCTTGGTGCAAACCCTGGACCTGGGCAAACCCGGGCTCCTCCAGTAGTCAGTGACACCTCCCTTCCCTGCAGCCATGAGTGAAGTCACCTCCCTCCATGAGGACGACTGGCGATCTCGGCCTCCCCGGGGCCCTGCCCTCACCCCGATCCGGGATGAGGAGTGGGGTGGCCACTCCCCCCGGAGTCCCAGGGGATGGGACCCAGAGACCCCCAGGGAGCAGGCAGGCGGGGGCTGGCGGGCCAGGCGGCCCCGGGCCCGCTCCGTGGACGCCCTGGACGACCTCACCCCGCCAAGCTCCGCCGAGTCAGGGAGCAGGTCTCCCCTGAGTAGTGGTGGGAGGAGAGGCCGGGCCTACATGCCCCCGCGGAGCCGCAGCCGGGACGACCTCTATGACCAAGAAGACTCGAGAGACTTCCCACGCTCCCGGGACCCTCACTACGACGACATCAGGTCTCGGGAGCGCCTCCCTGCCGACCCCAGGTCCCACTACCACCGTACCCGGGACCCTCGGGACAACGGCTCCAGGTCCGGGGACCCCCCCTATGATGGGCGGCTACTGGAGGAGGCCGTGAGGAAGAAGGGGTCGGGGGAGAGACGGAGACCCTACAAGGAGGAAGAGGAAGAGGCCTACTATCCGCCGGCGCCGCCCCCGTACTCGGAGACCGACTCGCAGGCGTCCCGCGAGCGCAGGCTCAAGAAGGTGAGGGCTGCCCTCCCTGGCGTCCAGATCGTCCCTGGGTCCCCAGCCGGTCCCCGCGGCTCATACCCTTCTTCCTTTCTCCCTTGCAGAACCTGGCCCTGAGTCGGGAAAGTTTAGTCGTCTGATCTGACGTTTTCTACGTAGCTTTTGTATTTTTTTTTTTAATTTGAAGGAACACTGATGAAGCCCTGCCATGCCCCTCCCGAGTCTAATAAAACGTATAATCACAAGCTCTGGAGAGAACCATTTGTTCAGCCGCGTAGGGCGGGGAACCGGGACTGCTCCCGTGTGTGTCTGTAAAGCCCCGCGTCCCGGGGGCGCCGGAGTCCCGGGCCGGGAAGCAGAGACCCAGCCTGGCCCGGCCCGAGCCCGCGCCGCCGGCCGAAGAACGTGCCCCGCCGCGCAGCCGCCGCCCGCCTGCGTGCGCGCCCCAGCCCCGCCCAGGCGTGCGCATGCGCCCCGGTCCTCCGCCTTCGCGCTCCGCGGGCCGACTGCCGGGAGCGCGCGCGCGCGCCCCCTCCCCTTCCAGCCCATCCCCCCACCCCCCCACCGACCTACTTTACTGTCTCCAAAATCGGGCAGCCCACCTGGCCCCCGGCGACCCGAGCCCCTGCTCCGGGTTCCCCGACGTTCCATCCGGACCCTCGTTTCACCCGGGCGGCGCGCGGCGACCTCGCGCCCCGCGGAGCCCCGGGCCTGCGCGCGCCCGCCCGCCCCCGGAGACAGCCAGCGCGCGCGCTCCCGGGCCGCCTCCCCCAGCGCGCGTCCGCCCCGGGCTCGCGCCTCCGCCGCCGCCGCCGCCGCGCGCGCGCAGCTCAAGTAAAGGAGGAAAAAAAAAAGGGGGAAAAATAGAAAGCGGCGGCGGCTGCAGCAGCGATCCGCCGCCGGACTGGGCCAGGCCGGGCGGCGGCCGCGCGAGCCGGCGATCCAGGGCACCGGCGGCGGCCAGCCAGGGCGGGCCGTGTTCAAAAAAAAAAGTCGCGGCGGCGGCGGCTGCTCAGGGAAGGAGGCCCGAGGGCCGCGTGCAGCGGGCGGGCGGGCGGGCGGGCTGGGGGCGGCCGCGCGGCGTCCCGGAGCCTCGGGCCGCCCGGAGCCGGCGGGCGGGTGGAGGCGGAGGCGGCGGCGGCTGCAGCGGCTGCAGGAGCGGCGGCGGCTGCGGCGGCGGCGGCGGCATCTCCTCCTCACATGACCCCACTGTTTGTCCCCGTGATCAGCGCGAGCGGCTCCCGTATCTCCTCCGTCCCCTCCTGCCGCGCGGCGTGAGCGCCGGGCTCCGGGCCCCCCCCCCCCCCCCCCCCCCCCCCCCCATGGACATGCTGGACCCGGGTCTGGATCCCGCTGCCTCGGCTACCGCTGCTGCCGCCGCCAGGTAAGATCCCCGGCCTGGCCGTGCCCCCGCGCCCCGGCCCCGGCCCCGCGGCCTGCAGGCCGGGGCCGCCATGATCCCGAGCGGCCGCGGGCCCGGCTCAAAATGGAGGCCGCCGAGGCGGGGGGGACCCGGCGTCTCCCGCCCCCGGACCCCGGCCCCGGCAGCGCCCCCGGCCTCAGGCGCAGCCGGGAGGGACGGGGGCCCTGCAGCTGGGCGCGGGGGCGGGGGCGCGAGCCGCGCTGATCCCGCTCTCCTGTGCCCCCGGCAGCCACGACAAGGGACCCGAGGCGGAGGAGGGCGTCGAGCTGCAGGAAGGTGAGTGTTTGCGGGGCCGGCCGCGCCCGGGGAGGGCTGGGGGCGCCCGGCGCGGCCGTGATCGTGCCCCGACCCTCCTCGGCCCCAGGCGGGGACGGCCCAGGAGCGGAGGAGCAGACAGCGGTGGCCATCACCAGCGTCCAGCAGGCGGCGTTCGGCGACCACAACATCCAGTACCAGTTCCGCACAGAGACAAATGGAGGACAGGTGAGCGGCGGGCCGCGAGGGCGGGCGAGCGAGCGAGCGAGCGGGCGGGCGGGCGCGCCGGGAAGGCTCGGACCTGGCCCCAGCGCCGGCCTCGCCGCTCTGCCGCCCCCTGCAGGTGACATACCGCGTAGTCCAGGTGACTGATGGTCAGCTGGACGGCCAGGGCGACACGACTGGCGCCGTCAGCGTCGTGTCCACCGCTGCCTTCGCGGGGGGGCAGCAGGCTGTGACCCAGGTGGGTGTGGACGGGGCAGCCCAGCGCCCAGGCCCCGCCGCTGCCTCTGTGCCCCCAGGTCCTGCAGCGCCCTTCCCGCTGGTAGGTGCCCTGCCACCCCTGGACGGGGGGTGGAGAGGGGACACTGGCTCTGCTCTTGGGGATCCCCGGGGGTGGGGCAGGTGTCACCCAGGAGATGCTGCCTTCAAGCCTCAGGCTGCATGGGGTCAGATCCCTCTTGTGCACCTTGAAACCTGGGGACGGTGCTCTTGGAATTTTTTTTTTTCTGCAAAATGGGAATGATGTGTCTAAGAGGAAAGTTTCTTAGAGTGCAAAACGGATTGGCTCAGCAAGTGATCGCTGACCTCCTGCCATGTTCTAGGGCTGTCTGAGACACAGGACAGAATGCTACTCGCAGAAGGAGTCCCCACTCCTGTTAATTGCGGAGAATGCAGTAAACCCCGAGCACAGCAATGAGGGGACCGGATAGAGGAACAGAGAAAGCTAAGGGTAGTCTCTGTCCTCCTACTCCCCAGGCTGTGATCCAAAATCCCTTCAGCAATGGTGGCAGCCCTGCGGCCGAGGCTGTCAGCGGGGAGGCACGATTTGCCTATTTCCCAGCGTCCAGTGTGGGAGATACTACGGCTGTGTCCGTACAGACCACAGACCAGAGCTTGCAGGCTGGAGGTGAGGAGAGGAAGAAGCCAGGTTGGCAGGTCGGGGAGGCAACGGGCCCAGCAGGGAGGGAAGCCCCTGCAACCAGTTCTGACTTCACCCTGTCTTGCCACTAACCCCCACTATCCCTGCAGGCCAGTTCTATGTCATGATGACGCCCCAGGATGTGCTTCAGACAGGAACACAGAGGACGATCGCCCCCCGGACACACCCCTACTCTCCGTATGTGCAGGGGACACCAGGAGGGCCTGGCATTGGAACTGAAGGGAGGGGTTTCTGGAGTAGAAGCTGGGCAGTTAGCATGAAGCGGGCACATGGTGTAATTTTTTTTTTCTTTGCCTGTTTCTACTTCTTTAGTGCACATAAAGTATCATCTCGTTTCTGCACACGGATTTACCTGAAAAAGATAATTTTTAAGTCTAATACTTAATAAATGCTTGGGCAAACAAATCTGTGATAATACATGCCCCTTTTTTTCCCTCCTTTTCTAGAAAAATTGATGGAACCAGAACACCCCGAGATGAGAGGAGAAGAGCCCAGCACAATGAAGGTGAGGACAAGGTGTGGCTCCGGGTCCCCCCCCGACCACCGCCCTCACAGGCTCAGCCAGCCCCGGGGTGTGGAGTGACAGAGAGGGAAGCCACTCCTGGCAGGCCACAAGTGCTCCAGAGGGCTTTGCTAGACGCTGTAAAGGTAGACAGTGAGCAACGAGGGGAGAGTACAGTGTCAGAAATAGAGGGACAGGGGGTGTGAACTGGAACTGGCCATGTGTTGACCCGGCTGGTGATCTTGAATTCATGGCCCACATCTAAGATGGTGGATTTCACATTCCCACACGGATTGCCTGCCCCACTTGAAAATTGGGGCTGACCGGGCTCACCTGAGCTGACCTTTCCACGTGGCAGCTGTCATGCTCACATCCCTCATTCCCATGCCTGCCTGGCCTCCAGAAGTAGGTCTGTTCCCCCAGGGAGCCCATCTGAGGCAGAAACTGCATGAAGCTCTGCCTCTGGCTGCCTAAGGCCGGAGCATCCTGCCCTTTCCAGAAACACCAAGTCTCACCTCAGGTCATTTGGCCTTCGACACTGTCCCCTCGCCCCCGCCCCACCTGTCAGTAGCCACTGTAGTGGGCACAGCAGCGTGCAAGTGCCAGGGGAGTGCTTATACCCAAACAACCATCATTCAACAAATATTTACTGCCCATGGGTTCTGGGCCGAGCGGCACAAGCCCTGTGCCAGGTCTGGAGTCTGGCCTGGAGCGTTGGGGAGGCTCGAAGGCCGGCGGGCTCATGTCTCACGGGTCTTGTGGGACATTGATGGGGAGTGGGCTGGGGTGAGGCTTCCCCAGGGAGAGGGGAGTTTGGGTCAGGTTACTTTGTGGGGTGCTGGTTTGGTTGTGGGAGAAGTTCCATCTGGAATGCCTCAGGAGGGAAGATCGGGAAGATCAGGAAGGCCTTAAATGCCTGAGTGAGGCGCTGAATCTCAGTCCTAACGGTGGCAATGGGGCTGGGGTCTGTGGCCCAGGTAGTTCCTCTCTGAGCAGTTCCTCTCTGAGTTCAGGCATTCATTCAGCGTGTGCATACTACGGCCAGCCCCCGTTTTGCGTCTTCAGATATGGCAATGCAGCAGGTAATAGGCCAGACAAGGTCTCAGCTCTCTGTGCGTGTTCTGGTGGGAGAGATGGGAGTCATACACAGCCAAAGCAGGCATCAGGCAGCACAGGCAGTCACAGGCAGGAGAGGAAAGCCGGGGAAGGAGGTGTCGGGTGATGGCGGCATGGCACTGTGCTCTGAAGGGCTCTTCGAGAGGTGACATTGAAGCAGAGTCCTGAAGGGACCTGAGGGAAGGGGCCTGTTGAGAACTCAGGAGAGTGCTGGGCAGAGGGAAGAGCTAGGACACAGGCCAGGCCCTGAACCGGGACTGCCGTGGTGTGTCTGCAGAAGAGCAGAATTCAGGAAAGGAAAGAGGAAGTCGGCGCAGTGGAAGGGGCTGCCCAGGCCAGACGGTGGAGGACCTTGGAAGAAGTCCCCAGTGTGGCTGTCTGGACTCCTGTGGTTTTCTTCCAGGGTGATGAGAAGCCAGCGGAGGGGTTTGTGCGTGGAGGCTGCTGGCAAAGGTGGTGGGAAGAGGCTGGGAGATAGGACACCACTCGGGTGTCAGGCCTGAGACAGGGCAGGGGTTGAGGGGAATGGGGGGAGGACTCCATGGCTGGAGAGTCAGGATTTCGTGCTGAACTCCCCTCCATGCTTGGAAGGGAAGGGGTGCATCTGAGCTTGGTTTTGGGATGCATTGAGTTTGAGGGGCCCCCAGAGCAGCCCCCGCGCTACCACTTACCTATGGTGGGGCATCAAGGTGGTTCTTAATCTCCGTGCCTGTCTCCCCTCTGTGAAATGCTGGAAGCACGGCTGCCTCCGACACCTGGTGGGGATGCAGTGAGTCGAGGTGGCCAC